CGGGGGGGGAGGAGTGGCGGGGGGGAGTGACCGGGCGTGGGGGAGAGGAGGAGTGACTGGGAGGGCGGGAGTACGGGGGGCAGGGGTGGAGAGTGAGCGGGGGAGCCGCAGGGGAAGGGCGCAGAATGGCCTGGGGGGGCGTGACGAACGGGGGCAGTGACGGGGAAGGAGTGACGGGGCGGAGAGGGAGGGGCCAGGAGCGAGTTAATGGCCTCCTGTGACGTCCAGCAGCCCTTGGCAACCCTGGGGCGATGAGGGGTGGGGAGGGTGGGGAGGGTGTGAAGCAGGGAATAACTTGGCTGCCCTAGGACTCGGCAGAGTTCCGACTCAGAGCTCCTCCCAGGCCGGCGGGACTAGGTGAGCCCTTGAGAATATGCCCTGAGTTTAGGCCAAGACCCCAAACGTTTTTTGTGCGTGGCCTGGGAAGGTCCGGAGCAGTTGTGTGCTGGGTGCTCGCTGCCGTGTGCCTGGTTTAAATTAAGTCCCATTTATTTCTAAATACTAGAAGTCACTGCAAGTGAACTTAGAAGCCACATGCTGGCTAATTTCTAACCGTAGCTGCAACTTTTACTCTGAGACCCAATATTAATTCCATATAGGTGGTTTCAATTTTACCTTTCCAGGTAAATAAGAACACGGCAAGGTTCTAATTTCTTGTTGCCCTGAGTTTGGTTTGGTTTTGAGCAGAAAGGACTTATTCGAAGGAACCTGGGTCGTAAAATATTAAGTAGGAAGTTTGGAGAACCAGCCTCAGAAAATGGGAAGGAGGCAGGGGAGTCTGGAAGCAAAGAGGGAGAGAAGCCTCCAGGAGCCAGTCTGGTGAGCGCCATGGCAGCCACCTGGCCCCTGGACTCCTGACCCTGCTGAGGCTGGGGCTCGGGTTGTGAACATTGATCATACGAGCTGAGTCATTCCTGTCATACCCCAGTAAAATAGTCCAGAAGGGCGAAGGGCACCCAGGACACAGAGCCTTGTGCCAGAAGCGTCATTGTCTGCGGGTCCAGCTGTGGGAACTACCTGTGGTCACCTGAGACCCACTTACCTCCAGCTGCTGAGATAACCTTGCAACTCTGGAACTGATTTTGCCTACCCCGACACCTACCAGTCGGAGCTTGCCAGCCCCCAGAGCATTGCTCATGCCAGTGAGCTTCCTCTGAGAGCAATAGGTATTATAACATATCTCTTTTTAATAAAACCTTCAACCCTCTCTCCACCCTGTGCTTCGGACATACTGAAGACTGCCTAGTCTCCCCAGACACCTCAAATCACAGATCTTCCCAAAGAAAACACTACACTTAGAAATTTATCTCTACATTTTAATTTTGACTTCGACGTGGTCCACAGTTGCTGGTCCTGCACCTGGTTTCTTTCTACATCTTCTGTTTGGATTGTACGTGACCAAGAAAATCCTGGTTTCTCCAGTTTGTAAGCAATTCACCTTGAAACCTGGTCTGAGTTTCAGTTACAAGGATGCCAGGCAGAGATTAATTAGAGGGTATTGCACTCATGTGACTTAACCTCACATTCGTGTGTGAGCAGGTTTGCAGTGTGTTAAATGTTGGCATGATCTCTCTTTTGGCAGTATAAAAATGTTTTCTTAAAAATGAAATGTGAATCGAACACATGTAGAACTCCTGCCGTGTGTCTGAGAAGCCCTGGGCTTCGTGGTATAGGAGACGAAAACAGAAAACCCACTGGAGAGGCGTCTGCTTGCTCATCTCATCACGGAGGTTTGGGAAAACTTGCAGGACAAAAGGCCATTTGCAAATCTGTGCTCTTGGGTGGCCCTCGGTGGAGGCTGGGTTCCCCAACCCAAGGTTCCGTGTCTACCTCCCTCTCCTCTCTATTCCAAGGCAGGACATCCTCCAAGGGGAGCTTGCAGATGACAAGTGGCACCCAGTATTCAAGCATGAATGACACATTCCCCCACCTGAAGATACAGAGAGTGAGACCATGGCATCCTTCCAGCTTTAAGATGATACGGCACTACCCACCACTCAGATCTGATGCTTGACTTTCTGTTCAGTTCTAATCCTTGCTAGGGGCTTAGAAATGTGTCTGAAGGTGGCACACAAAAGACTAAATCAAAGTGAAAAATAACTGTACCTGCTAATTAAGAATGCATGAAATAGCCAGGCGTGATGGCTCTCACCTATAATCCCAGCACTTTGGGAGGCAGAAGCAAAAGGACTGCCTGAACCCATGATTTTGAGACCAGCCTGGGCAACTTGGCAAGACCTTGTCTCTACAACAAGAAAAAAAATTAACCAGATGTAGCGGCATGCACCTGTAGTTCCAACGATTTGGAAGGCTGAGGCAAAAGGATCTCCTGAGCCCAGTAGGTCAAGGCTGTGGTGGTCGTGAGCATGCCACTGCATTCCAGCCTGAGCGACAGAGTGAGACTCTGCCTCCTAAAAAAAAAAAAAAAAATGCATGAGATGCATGAATGCTCAGCTTTCCACAAAGAGAAACTGCATGTCCCTTAGAAAGACTGCCTTAAAAATAATTACGAGAGGTGACATTGTGTCCAGCGTTTAGCATGTGCATGAACAGACTATGCTGCTCCCAGAAGGAATTTGGCATTCTTGTTTTTGTTTTATTTTATTTTATTTTATTTTTTGAGTTGAGGGTATCTATCATCCAGGCTGGAGTGCAGTGGCACAATCACAGTGTGCATGAATCTTACAAATATGAGAGGAAAGGAAAGGGGCCAGACACAGAACGTACCCACCATCAGATTTCATCCATGGCCAGAAACTCACTTTCGCTGTCAGAGGCCAAAGCAGTGACCAGTCTCCCTCTCAGAGTGGGCTGAGGGGAGGTGACTGGAAGGGTACGAGGGAATGCTGAGGTCTAGGATTTTTTTTCTTGATCTGGCTTCTGCTTAAATAAGTATATTTAGTCTGTGAAAATTATTTTAACTAAACACATATGATATGTGTATTTTTCTTTTATTTTTTTTTGAGTTGGGATCTCACTGTCCCCCAGTCTAGAGTTCAGTAGCATGATCACGGCTCACTGCAGCCTTGGCTTCTGGGCTCAGGAGATCCTTTTTTTTTGAGTTGGCGTCTCACTCTGTCACCCAGACTGGAGTACAGTGGCCGCTCCCGGCCACCGCAGCTTCGACCTGCTGGGCTCCGGTGAGCCTTCCGCCTCAGCCTTCCAAATAGCTGGAACTACAGGCGCGTGCTACCACGCCCGGCTAATTTTTTTATTTTATTGTAGAGATGAGGTCTCACCAAGTTGCCCAGGCTGGTCTTGAACCTGCGGGCTCAGGCAATCCACTCACCTCAGCCTTCCAAAGCACGGGATTACAGGCTGAGCCACCGAGCCTGACAGGAGATCCTTTTGCCTCAGGCTTCTGGGTAACTGGGACTACGGGCATGCACCACCATGCCCAGCTAATTCTTTGATTTTTTTGTAGAGACAGCATCTCGCTATATTGCCCAGACTGGTCTTGAACTCCTGACTCAAGCAATCCAGTATCACAAATCTGCGTCCATTTGGGGAAACATGTGAAAACATGGCCAAACACATTCATTTGTCACAGGGGCCACAGTTATGGTGCCAACCTTGTAAGGTGAGTGAGCCTCATTCGACCAGCAGATACATTCCTGGAAAGCATGTGATGTTTTTGTGACATGAATCATATTTTTATTCCAAAGCCCCAGGGTCATTTGGTTTCATGGCGATCTTCAAGACAGTGCTCTCTGTCCTCTAGCCTAAAGTGTCCCTGCCCCCTCCCCTCACTGTCAAGTAGTTAATGACCTATAAACAAATACTGAAATGCCCTCAGGGGGCTCTCCATAATGGGGCCTTGAGTCACATGATAATGGAAATGTGATATTCCACCCACTGATTTACGGCTTGTCAGTTTAGGTTTTTGAAGCAAAGTTACGCTGGTCTTTTTGGATGGGACAGGTTTTTAATTTGCTGTACAATAACACTAGATGTTCTCTAACATTTTCCTTCAAGAAAAAACTCAGAAATGTTATCTGCATTTGCGTTTTCCATTGTATGAAATACTATTTCATTTGTATGGGCACATGTGTGCGCTTCAGTCTCGTAAAACTGAGGTGGACACAGAGGATAATAGAGTCCCCTACATATGAACCTTCACACTGCAAACTTTCAAAGATGCTAACGTGCGTCACACGTCCAATCACAATAGTTAGCTCATGTGTCTGGTGTGATTCACACAGTACATTTTTTAAAAAATTGAGTTGGCCACCACAGCCTCAACCTGCTGGGCTCAGGAAATCCTTCTGCATCAACCTTTCAAGTAGCTGGAACCACAGGCACGTGTCACCATGCCTGGCAAATTTTTTTATTTATTGTAGAGATGAGGTCTCACCAAGTTGCCCAGGCTGGTCTCCAAGCCCTGGGCTCAGGCAGTCCTCTGGTCTCTGCCCTCCAAAGTGCTGGGATGACAGGAGTAAGCCACGACATCTGGCCCACACAGTACTTTTCAAGGTGCTGTACTGTAAGATTTAAAATGTTTTCTGTATTTTTTGTTTGTTTTTTACATATGATTTGTGTGAAAAGTATTATAAACTTGTAGCAGTACTATGTAGCCGATTGTGTGAGTTAGGTTAATAGGCTAACTCTATTGAACTTGGGAACAAATTGGACTCAGAACACACTCTTGAAACTGGACTCATTCATATGTAGGGGACTTTCTGTCTCAGTATGATAATCCTACCGGTGCCTGGGTGTTTACCATGTTCTAGGTGATTTATACCTATCATCCCATTTAGACTGAAAGGATAGACCGAGAGTGGGAGATGCATTTAAAAAATCTTGTTCCTAAGCCTTAATACAATGATGAGACAGTA